GAAGTATTTTAAACTCTAAGGAAAACAACCTTCAACCCAGATTGATGTACCCTGCAAAATTATCTTTCAAAACTGATGGAGAAATAAGATACTTTCATGGCAAAGAACTGTTAAGGAACTTTATGACCACCAAACCAGCACTACAAAAATGTTTTGAAGGACATTCTAGAAAGAGAAAACAAGGGCCAGCCAAATAGCTCAGTGGATTAAAACGCAGCTGGGGGTTTGATCCCCAGGCCTGACATGCCAGCACCACCCCCGGGGTGCACGGAGATGGAAATTGAGACTGAGCATGGTGGTGCACGCCTGTAAGCCCAGCTCTTGGGAAGCTGTAAACAGGCGGATCACTATGAGACTGATTTAGTAGTGAGACCCTGAACACCCTGTAGACCATTCCCTAAAATACAAAGAGAGAGAGAGAGAGAGAGAGAGAGAGAGAGAGAGAGAGAGGAGAAAACAAGGACTACATCCACATAAATTCCAACAGAAGGAATCCACCAGGCAAGGCAAATAAGTAAACAGAAGAAAGAGAGAGAAAAAGAGCGAGAGCCAACAACAAGAAAATAACATGACAAGGATAAGTCAATATATGTCAAATCCCTCAATTCACCAATCGAAAGACACAGACTGGCAGAATGAATCAAGATGCATTATCCAACAATATGCTGCATACAAGAAACACATTTAATTCAAACAGAAAGTCATAGGCTGAAAGTCAAAGGATGGAAGACAATACTCCATGAGACAGGACTCAGAAAAAAGCAGGGGTAGCTATTCTAGTTGCAGACAATGTCAACTTCAAGCCAAGACTGTTCAAAAGAGATAAAGACGGTCACTACATCCTTGTAAAGGGAACAATCCAAGAGGAAGAGATAACAATCAAAAATATATATGCAACAAATACCAGTGCACCCAGCTTTATAAAACAAATATTAATGGGCATGAAAAATCAAACACTAATACAGTTGCATTGGGGGATTCCAATAGCCCACTGTCACAAAAAGACAGATCAACTAGACAAAAAAATCAACAATGAAATAATAGAACTGAACCAAACTTTTGGACAAATGGACTTAGTAGATGTCTACAGAGTGTTCTATCCTACAACATCAAAATACATGTTCTTCTCAGCTGCAACAGGACATTCCCCAAAATAGGCCACATATTAACCTATAGAACATGTTTAAGTAAATGCAAAGGAATTGAAATTGTCCCATACATATTATCAGATCATAGTGCAATGAAATTGTAAATCAACGACAAAAGAAGCTACAAGAACTTCATAAACGTGTGAAATTTAAATAGCATCCTCCTGAACAACCAGTGGGTCAAAGATGAAATTAAAGAAGAAATTAAGATAGTTTCTACAATTAAATGACAATGAAAACAAAACATTCTGCAACTTGTAAAACACGATGAAAGCAGTTCTAAGAGGGAAATTTATAGCTGTGAATACCCGTATCAGGAAAATAGAGCAAGCACTTAATGTTGAGCCTCAAACATCTAGAAATAATTTATAATTTAAAAAATTATAAAGATCAGAGCAGAAACTAATGTCTTGGAGACTAAAATTCTTTTCAGTGATATGAGAAACCACCACTCCTCAATTTGTTGGATCTACCAAGAATTGTTCTTGATATGGAATATATCTGTAATTCTTAGTTTCATTGCCTGGGCAAGTGTTCATTTCTGGTTTAACATTACCAGAAAGTTTTTTCCTGCAATGAAAGGTACCAGTAAAATGACTCCGTGGACATATCCTACAGATGTACTAACCGGAATCCAAAGTAGCCGCCTCCTCCTGTAATGAGGACAGTTTCCTTTGGAGATCTTTGGGAGTCCATATGTGGCAATCAACTGGACCTGTAAGAAAGAAGCATATGGTATTATTATGATCCAAATGCAAATATGAGCTCACAAGAACAAAAATTTTGAGCTCATAAGAGCAAAAACGGGGGTTAAAGATGCAACTCAGAGCACATCCCTAGCACAAGGATGAAACCAAAAAGGGGACAAAGGCCAACTACCCAAGAGCTGGGTTCTAGTGACAGCTGTGTGACAGTAGCTCTTCCTCTTCATTTCTTGGGCTTCAAATTTCTTTTTACTTAATACCGGGCAAGTAGTATCTGTCCTATCTAACTGACAGTCAGTGTGAATGTAAGTTAAGATAATACTCCAGGGTGTGCTGTAAAAACTACAGAGCACTTTTCAAATGTAAGACACTACTATCAAATCTTGGAAGACTGGAACAGCTCTGCAAAGAATTCACTTAAATTTGGTAGAGAGAAGTCTGACCACCATGCTCCAGAAAATCAAAGACAGAATTCTAAAAAAAGCTCTGAACATCTTTTATTTAAAGTGGTTCAAGACAAAGATGTCCACTATCGCCACTCCTACTCAATATAGTTCTGGAAACATTAGCCAGAGCAACAGACAAGAAAGAGAAATAAAAGGAATGAGGGTAGGAAAGAAGGAAGTTAAATTATTTTTTGTATATGACATGATACTCTTCATAGAAGACCCCTAAAAAGACTCTACCAAAGCAATAAACAAATTCAATAGCACAGCTGGACATAAAGTCAACACTCAAAAATCAGTAACATTCCTGTACACAAACAAACTTGCTGAGAGAAAAACTAGGGAAACAATATCCTTCCTTCACATTAGCATCCACAAAAATGAAATATTTAGGAATAAATTTAACAAAGCAAGAGATCAATATATTGAAAATTATGGTACTATGAAAAAGGTTGAGAGACTATCAGAAAATGGAATGATATCCCTTGTTCATGGAAAGGAAGAACCAATGTTTTGAAAATGGCCATACTCCTAAATCTGTTACACAGATTTACTGCAGTCCTGATCAAAATACTATTAGCATATCTCAGAGATTTAGAGAAAAAAAATCCTAAAATTCATCTGGAACCAGAAAAGACCTAGAATAGCAAAGGCAATTCTGGGCAACAAAGGCAAGGCAAGAGGCATCATAATCCCTGACTTGCTACTGTGATAAAATCAGCATGGTACTGGCAAAACAAAATAAAACAAAACACAAAACAACCCAACAAAACAAAAAAACAGCCAGGGAGATAGCTCAATGGCATAGGCACCTGCCTGGCAAGTGCAAGGTCCTAAGTTCAATCCCTGGTACAAAAAAAAAAAAAAAAAAAAAAAAAAAAAAAAGCAGCAAACAAAAAACCCCAAACCAAATAAACAATCACAACAAAAACCAGGACTGAGGATCAGTACAACAGATTAGAAAATGCAGACACAACTACAAACGCACACTGCCACCTTATATTGACAAAGGAGCCAAATGTCTTCAATGGAAGAAAGATAGCCTCTTTAATAAATGGTGCTGGAAAAACTGGCTTTCCACATGCTAAAGACTAAAACTAGACCCATGTCTATCATTCATGCACTAAAGTCAAAATGGACCAAAAATCTAAATATTAAAACAGAAACAGTATGTCTACTGGAAGACAAAGTAGGTAAAAATCTTGAAGACAAAGGAATAGGCAGAGTTTATGAACAAAACCCAAACCGCACAGCAAGTACTTCAAAAAATGAGCAACTGGGAATCTCACCTTATTAAAAAGTTTTTGAACCTCAAAAAGAATCACAAACAGAGTGAAAAGACAATGCACAGAGTGGGAAAAAAAAAATTTAATCAACTGCCCCTCAGACAAAGGATTTCTACCTAGAATATACAAAGAACTGAAAAAATGAGGCCCCCAAAAATCAAAGACCCAATCCAAAAATGGGGCATCTGAGATGGATACATACTTAGCAGATGAAGAGATACAAATGGCAAATAAATACAAGAAAAAAAAGTTTGACACCATTGGTTATTCGAGAAATGCAAATTTCTCAAGATTCCAACTCTAGAAAGAAGGGCTGCCATTAAGAAATCAACCAATAATAAATGTTGACAGGACTGTGGAGAAAAGGAACTCTTCTCTGTTGGTGGAAGTGTAGACTGGTACAACCACTATGGAAATCTGTGTGGAGATTCCTCAAAACACGATTAGCGATTCCATTCGACCCAGCTATTCCCCTTCTGGTTATTCTCCCAGAATTAAAAACATCATAGCGCAGTGATGTCTCTGCACCCATGTTTACAGTAGCATACTTTGTAATAGCTAAATCTTTGGAAACAACCCAAATGCCCATCAACCAAGGAAAACATTTTTAAAAACATTTTTTAATACAAAAGAGTATTACTCAGCTATAAAGGACAAGTGCAAGGTTTTTCTAGGTAAATGGATGCAACAATCTGAGCAATTACTTTGAAGATAACAATATGCAATATATTGACTGCTGTTAATTTCCTATTATTTTATTCTGAAATTCTGTATCATTATTTTTCTCTTTAAAATAAAAAAGTAGGGGGCGGGGATATAGCTCACTGATACAGAGCCTGCCTGGCAAGCACAAGGTCCCGAGTTCAGTCCCTAGTACTGCCTCCCCCCAAATAAAAAAGTGGCTCACCACAATATGACTTAATATGGCTTTATTAAGCCCATATTAATTTTAAAAAGAGAGGGTGAAACCTCCTCTATGTAGCAGCCTCCATCCTTCACCCCAGAAGCCTTGCAAGTCTTCAACTGAAGTGCTCCACGCCTGTGGTGCCCTGTTCTGCTCTCCCTCCTCACAGACGTCTCCCTAACCCCAGTCCTCTCAGGACTCCAACATACCCTTCTTTCAAAAGCTGGACAAACAAAAGTGTGCTGCACAACTCCCTGCACGTAAGGAGAGGTGTGCAAGTCCTCACAGGCAGTGGGAGTACACACGCACATGCATACTCTCAGGTCAACAGTGACACTGAGGCTAGGTAGGGTGACCACAAGCAGCTTCCTCCCAGCCCTGGCCCCAGGCCTGTAGGTGGACAGCAACAGGAAAGAGTGTGGAGCCAGGAGCTGGGGGAGTGGTGTGGGCGGGGCTACACAGGATGAGGCACACAAGCCCCCAAGAGGTGTGAACATGAAGTCAGGTGCAGGCACAGGGAAAAAATATATAGAAGGCAGGAACTCAGGATGTCCTGCCTCTCCCCTACAGAGTGCTGTCAACTTTGGCCAAGATGCTTAGCATCTCTAGACCTCGCTTTTCTCTGCAAATTATGTGCCACACTGTTACAGGAACAAGGATTCTAAAGGAGCAGCAGGGTGCAGGGGGAAGAGCAGAGGCAGCATTGGCTGCGAGGTGCCAGGTGGCACGCTGAGCACTCTCTGTGCACATGAGCCATCTAATTCTTTTAACAGCCCTATCCAGAAAGGCCCACAAGCACTTCCGCCTTTTGGTGGAGGAAAATGAAGCACAGACAGAGAGGATAAATAACTTCCCCAAGCTTTCCTAGAGTTACACCAAATGGCAAGCTGGCCTGGGAGTCCCCACACTTAAGCTGCAAAACACAGACCTTAAACGAGGGAAGAGAATGGGCGGCAAGGCAAGGTCATGTCCCAGTTATAGACCTTGGATCAGTACATCACCCTGAGCTATTTCTTAAATGAGAAAGTGGGTCTGATGATAAGCTCAAGGCCCTTCAAAGATCAGGCGGATTAAAGTATTAAGAAAACAGGATCTGCCACAGTATAGGCAGTCCATAGATGCTGAGTCTCAAATTTCCTGTTCTTTAAGTTCTAAAGATCAGGGATCTGATCTGGTAACTTGTGACATTTCTACACACCATGATAATATCTCTCAAATCACAAGGTTATAAAGAGTTCAAGAATTTCTCCTTGGTACCAGTGCAAAGCATGTCAGATTGCCAGCGAGGCTAGTCAGGTCTTCACACAGTAGTTGGCTTGAGACGGAAGACAAGGTTGTCTTGTCTCTGGCCACATCACCCTGAACACATCCAATCTCGTCTGAAGACAAGGTTAACCTTGTGACAGTCCCAGTGGGCTGAGGATATGGGGTGAGAAAGATATTAAGCAAATTGAACAAAACGCTGTAGGGGATGAGGGATGGGTCCCAATGTTTCCACTAAGCAATTGCCACAGCTGTGTTGCATGAAAAGGCACGAAGAATGACCTCCAGCACGCCCCTGATATACCTAATGCTGCCTTTATAGTTCGATCGTCTTTTTCTTTTGGCAGTGGTGGGGATCAAGCCCCCGAACTCAGAGCCTTACACACGCTGGGCAGCCACTGAGCTATAACCCCAGCCGTGCTTTCTGAGGGTAGAATGCTCCCCTTTGGATTGGAGTGGCCAAGAAACCAGATGTAGTCAACTGTGCATTGAACAGTCACATGGCTCCAGGATAAATGTAGCCCACAGACACGGCAGCTATCAATTACTGAGATTTCAATACACATTTGTTACCTCCACAAATGTGTATTTCAATACACATTTGTTCCAACCACATGGGATTCTCCTTCCCTAAAGATGTCAATCAATTAGTGATCCTGCTTGTGCCTCAGTGCATTCGGGGCTCCCCCAGGTCCTTACCTGGCTGTAGCCTCCTTAATGTCACTGTTTCCTTAGCTGTCCCCTTTGTGGAGAGGTTTCTGCTCACCCTCTCTAAATAGCTCCACCTTACCCTAACTGCCACCCGTTTTCTTTAGAGTACATGTCACAATCTAAGACTGTTCCTGTCTCCATCATCTCCTTGCCATGGAATGTAAGTTCGATGAGAACTGAGGTTTGCTTTATTCATGGACTTGGATGCTCATGGGGTATTCATTATTTGCTGAATTCATGGGTGACACTGAACGCATAATATATCTAATTTAGTAAGACTGCGATGGGCACAAATGGTGCAGGGGTGTGCACTTGTCCAGTGTCTGTCACTGTTCCATGTGGCATTCAATGCTACCATTTTAGCTTAGCCTCCAAAAAAAGTACCAAGTTATGGGATGCAA